ATAGGAAAAAATGTTTGGAGATAAAACGGTCTCTGTGGTATGTTTTTAGTTAGCCACTGATCACCTAATCGTAGGCTCTCATTTTTGATACTAACAGTTAATCACAGTTTTGTAATTGAAAATTCTTCAGAAAGAAAGAAAATTCAATTTATGTACGTACTCGTCTGTATCTTTTTTTACGTTCCAATCAAATAGTATGCACAATTAATAAAAAGTTATAAACAATTGATAATAATTGTTTGACCGTTTAGAATACTACATTATTAACGGATCTTCAATTTTGTTATTACATAGATAAATAATTTTTATACGTTTGTGTGATGCTTTATCTACAGTATTTTTTGATTAGATAAAATATGTACGTATTTTAACAGATCTCATTTTAAATTTTTAAATTTTTTAAAAAGGTCTTTAAGAGAACTAACCAAAAATGAAACAGAAAATATAGCATTTCAATAAAAAGAATAAGTGTGGCGTCGTAGTTGAAAAGTGGATGACGTCATTAACAAGTGAAGAAAAGCATTTTCGATAAATACCATTAGTTTTGCAATTACTGAATGTATTTCGTAAATAGTATCCATATTTTCTAAAAATGTATGTAAGTATAAGCTAAAGTACCTTTTTTATTAAAAGTCCACCTCGGTTACAATTTCTCCCAATAACATAAGCGGCAAGATGTCTACGAACTTTTAGTGAAAAACGAAAAGAAAGTTAGGTTAAGTTATTTCTTTTGTGACATCTGTAGACGTGGTATTTTCTGGCTTTCTCGCTTTAAAATCTGTGGTTGAATGACATTTATTAACCAAGGTTACTATATACGACAACCATTTTCTTTTTGTGAGGCAGGTTTATGTTCATGTATCGGTCTATTATTCAATGTATTGCGCCTTATTTCTTCAGTTCTTTTATTCTAAATTGATATAAAAATACGGACGTTAAGGGATGTTATTATAAGGATATTTATTCTTTAAAACAGGCCCTTTCGGCTGAAATAATTTAGAATATCTAATAGGTTTTCATCAATGACGATTATTTAAAAATTGGAAATATTTTTGTATTTGTGATATACCTACTTAGCTAAAAATAAAAGACGTTTACTAAAAACAAAACGTTTCAGATAACCATTTTAATTGAAAACAGTGGTCTTCAATGTTTGAGTTTATTGAAGTTTCGGTTAAATTAACTTTAGAATGTTGGTAATTTCCAAACGTTGTGCAGCAAGGCTATGTTTATTAAACTTTCATTTCTCGTTTTCTGGACATTCTCCAATTTGAGGAATGAAAATATCGATTTTCAGTTTTCGTCTATCTGTTTGTTAGAGAATTTTTAGGCTAATATTCTCCGAAACTCTTTTTTTGAGGTATATTTTGAGTCTGTTATATAGATTTTTTTCTGTTCACCTGCACTAAAAATCGCGTCGTGTAAATGTAAAATTCTGCTTAGAATTTACACTGTGATGTCAACACTTGTTTTTTAATTTGTTTTTTTTTTTAATCTTGTCTACTTATTACAACTGTGTAATGTTGAATTGCGGCGTTATTAAAAATTAGTATGTACTTATAAAGGTGATGTTAGTGCTATTTTTCTTTGTGTACATTAAAATTGCATGTGTTATTTTTTTATCATGATTTGTATCTTTTATAAAAGCTATTTTGATCGGTAATTTTGTCTTATTTTTGTTTTATCGAAAATTTTTTTGACGTCTTTTTATTACATATGTTGTATTTTATTTTACTTTTTATCCAAACTTTTTCTTATGTTCGAGTATTCAGATATTTTTTTCCTTTCGATTTTTGGTGCAGGAGATAAAAATGACGTTTTTTAATATTAATTGTTTATGAACCGTTTTATTTACTGTTTAATTTTGTTCACAATCTATTTTAAACATTTCATTACGCTGTATGTAAAGAAAACGACTGGCCGGCCGAATTGCCGGTAGGGTGCAAGAGGCTTTTGCTGCGTGTTAACAATACGACCTCATTTTAACCTCTATTTTTAGAACGACTTGTAGATATAAGCTTTTTAAAATTTCGGTATTCCAAGTGATCAGTTTCTTTTCATGTATACAAAAATTGATAACTGTTTTATATTGGTTTTAGAATATTAATAAAACCAGCTTCTACAATTATTTGTTTATTCTAATTTCTTACGTATCTAACAACATTCTCTAAGCCTACTTCTATAACACCCCCCTTCTTAATTCTAATACTTAACAATTAGTACAAAATATAGTCTTTAAATCGCGAGGGTGTTCTTCGTTGTCTCTGACTAACACTTTGCTTTGATACATCTATAAATTTGTCATCATCATTGTCGTCACAGTTAATAATAGGAACGTATTCGTTAAGAGAATCCCTTAAATGTCATACTATTTCTTCTCAACAATTGGCTTTTCCTATCTTTTACAATATATGACCTAGGTTCATTACATTTCTTTACAACTTTTGCCGACTCCCATTTACCTCCCTTTTGTAAGGTAACATTTTGATTGTTCACAAAATTAGGTTTAGCTTTTGTAGTCCTGTCATAGTAGTATTTTGTCTGTTGTTGTTTGGTGTGTAATTTCTTGATTACATTGTTTGGATCAACTGTATTAAATTCTAAAGTACGTTGAGGAACTGGCAGTTTGGTTTTGATGTTTCGATTAAAAACTAATTCTGCAGGAGATAGACCTATACCAACAATTTTTGTCGATCTGTAAGACATTAAACCTGTTGTTAACTCACAGCTCTTTTTTAAAAGTGACTTGGCTATTTTTACCCCACTTTCTGCAAACCCATTACTTCTAGGATAATGTGGACTACTTGTTGTTATTTTAAACCCATACTCATCCGAAAATTTTTTGAAACTATAAGAAGAATATTATGGCATATTATCAGCTATCAGTAAATCCGGTATTCCAAAGTTAGCAAAAAATTTTTTAAACTGCTTTATCAATTCAATTGAGTTTTTCTCTCTAATTGGGACTACATCAAGCCATTTAGAGTAATAGTCAAAAATTATTAAATAATTATTCTTTGCATATTCACATATGTCTGATTCTATTTTAGAAAATGGTCTACCCGGTAAAGGATGACTTATCAATGGTTCTTTTGCATTTGATGAACGATTTGATTCACAAATTTTACAACTTTTAATAAATGTGATAATGTCTTTATCATAATTTGGCCAGTATAATGCTTCTTTTGCTCGACTTAAAGTTTTATTAACACCGAAATGACTTTCATGAAGTAAATTCAACATACTTCTACGTAAACTTGGTGGTACTAACAACCTATTTTTAAACAAAATTATTCCGTCAACAATAGTCAAGTCGTTTCTAACACTGTGATAAAATTTTAAAATTTTGGAATTGTCATCAATATCATGTATTTTATTGGGCCATTCAGTTAAACAATATTCTTTTACTTTATTTAGAACAGGATCTGCTTGAGTTTCCTTTTGAAATGTTACTTTTTTATTCTCTGAAATGTTTACAATTGCATGTATGTTATGTACTACTTCAAGCATCGATTCATCATCTTCCACTGGATCATTTAAATAATTTCTGGACAACAAATCAGCAACATGTAAAAATTTTCCTGGCATATACTCACATTTTATATCATACCGTACCAGTTTTAATTTAATTCTTTGCAACCTAGGAGAAATGATGTCAACAATTTTTTTATTCATTATTGAAACCAGTGGCTTATGATCAGTACAGATTGTTACTTGCTTGCCATATATATAATTATGAATTTTTTTTACTGCAAACGCCATAGCCAAAAACTCTTTTTCAATTTGAGCATAATTTTGCTCTACTGTTGTCATACTACGCGATGCAAACGAGACTGGTCTTCCTTCTTGCAAAAAGCAACAACCTAAACCACTCTTAGAAGCATCTGTATGTATCGTTATTTCTTTTTTATCATCAAAATTTGTCAGCACAGGTGCTACAGTAAGCATATTTTTGATTTGATCATAAATATTTTGATGTAGTTCAGTCCATGAAAAAATTACATTATTTTTTAATAAATTTCGCAATGGATCTGTAATTTCTGACAAATTAGGCACAAAGTTTAGAAAATAATTAAACATGCCTAATACCTTTTGTAAATCTTTTTTATTTTTGGGTTCTTTTAATTGAATTATTGATTTAATCCTATCTGGATCTGGTTGCATGCCATCTTTTGAAAATAAATGACCTAAATATTTAACTTGACTTTTTCTATATTGTACTTTACTTTGATTAAATTTAATATTTAACTTTCTGGCTCTATCAATAACTTTATTGAGTATTGCATCATGTTCTTCTTCAGTCTCCCCTGCAATTAATAAGTCATCAATATATACAGTAACTCCCTCAATGTCTCCAAAATTGTTTGTATTTAATTTTTGAAATAACTCTGGTGCTGTTTTCAGACCAAAGGGTAACCTGTTGAATTGATAATACCCAAACGGACTACTGAATGTACAAATCTGCTGTGATTTATCATCAAGTTGCACATGATAAAAACCATCTTTAAGATCTAGTACAGTATAGCAAACTTTATTTTTCAATTTTGCAGTTATTTCCTCCCTTGTTGGCATAAGGCAATACTCCCTTTCGATATTTTTATTTATATCAGCTGGATCTAGACAAATTCTTAAACTACCATTCGGTTTTTCAACAATAACCAAATTGCTAGCCCATTCAACTGGTCTATTAACTTTACTTATTATACCTTTTTGCTCTAAATCATTTAAAGTCAATTTTAATTTATTTTTAATTGAAATTGGGACTCTTCTAGGTGGTCTGTTAACAGGGATCGCATTTTTTCTTAACAATATTTTATGTACACCTCCAAATTTACCTGTTCCCACAAACAAATCTTTATTTTCATCAAGAAAATTTTCTTCAGTTAATGTTTTTAAATTATTTACTCTCTTGACGAGACCTAACTGAATGCACGCATTTAATCCCAACAAAGGTTGATTATTATTATTACACACATAGAAACTAATCAAGTGTCGTTTACCTTTAACAGTACAGTCCAAGTCAATAAATCCTAAAGGCTTAATTTTATATCCTCCCCATGACTCTAACAACATTTTTGTGTCCCTGACTATCTTATTCATACACTTGAGTTGCCTCACTAACTTTTCTGGAATTGTGTTAACCTCCGCCCCAGTATCTAATTTCATTTTCACAACAGAACCGTACAATTTTACATCTTCATACCACGCTTTACCAACAGTGTTAACACCCGAACAATATTTCTTAATGCCTTCCACCATAAGCGTTGCTTCTGAACCACTAGCAGTGAATTCGTCATTCTTAACTTCTCTAACTTCCTTAACTCTACAACAAATTTTAAAGTGATTCATTTTACCACACCGGTGACACTTCTTTCCAAAGGCAGGACAATTACGAACACAATGCTTTGTTTTACACCTGGTACACAAAAATCTCGTTACTGTTTCTTGTTTCTTCTGACTATCGTCTTGCTGTTTCTTCTTATAAGTTGCTGAACTTGCGTTCTTCTTCTGGAGTGCTTCCACAGCTTTCGCTCCTTCTGTCTGCACCGTCTGTATATAGCCCTTGGCTGCTTCATTTGTTCTACACATAGTGACAACATCTGCCAGGGTGACACTTCCTTTAACAATCAACTTCTGCTGTACTTCTTTGTCAGATATTCCAAAGATTATCCTATATCGTAGCATTTCTTCGGAGTCTTTGAATTCACATCTCTTAACTGCAGTCCTCAAATCATTCACAAAATGATCGAAAGATTCACCACACTCTTGTTTTCGATTGTAAAACAAGAATCTTTCATAAACTATGCTTTTCCTAGGATTAACATACTTCATAAACTCTTCCACGACCGTTTTATATACTTTCTTCTGTGCGTCTGTCAACTCAAAGTTACTGTATATTTCAATACCCTCTTCTCCCAACACATTAAGGAGTATGGCAATTTTTACTGGATCCCCTTTTAGGCTTCCACCACTTGCCAACATATAAACTTCAAATTGGCGTATAAATTTTGTGAAATTTTCCTGCACATTTCCTTCAAAACTAAACTTTCTCGGCGGTTTGATATCCATTTTCTTCAACTATAATTATTCATTCATCAAACTACTGCACCGACTGCGCCATGTTTTATATTGGTTTTAGAATATTAATAAAACCAGCTTCTACAATTATTTGTTTATTCTAATCTCTTACGTATCTAACAACATTCTCTAAGCCTACTTCTATAACAATAACTGAATACTGAATAAGCATTTCTCTCTCATTAAATACATATTATCGAATCTTTTTGTTTTACTTTATCTACTGATTCTTTAACACCCGTTTTTCTTTTCTTTATTTAAACGCCAACGTGCTATATTGTGTTAGTATAAACTTGTTTTGGAATTAAAGTTTCCACCTTCTCTGGGGCTCAAAGTTTAACTCAATTAAAATTCATATTTCATAAATAAGTTAAACAATAAGATATAATAATAAAAGATAATCCTTTTTTTTGTTAATAATAATAGCTTTTTCGAAAACTTATAAAATTGATTTTGCGTTTTTTTATGGGGGTCTCTATATTAAAATAAAGATATGTATGTTGTGATAAAGCAAATGTAAAAAAGGTGCTCCGTATATGCTTTAAGTGAGTATTTCCATTATCACGATCATACAAGGTGATCGTGCGTGATAGTGCATGTGTGCATGTGTGTTGTGCTCCAAAATCTGTTCCTTCCTCTCAGGTTTGAGGAAACAAATTTACACTGAATGAGACATATGTAAAGGGCGTTTCTCGCATTGAGAACAGTGTAATTGTTTTTCGCATCTGTTTAGTCGTTTTTTCTCTGTGTAGTTAGTTTAATTAATGTGTGCAAGAAAACTAGTAATTTTATCTATTGGGTAGCCTCATTTTTTGCCGGTTCCAATCAAAGGTGAACCTCTCACCTTTGATAGGAGTTAGTAATGCCGGGAACGTGTAAAGCATGTGATGGAGACATCAATCGCCGAAATGAAAAGGTTTTTTCATGTTTCCTCTGTAGTAACAAATCTCATGCAAAATGTTTAAAAATTGAAGATGCCGAATTTAAAATCTTGCAGAAATTAAATAATTTTAAATACATTTGTGATGAGTGTTTAATACTTCAAAATTCTGAGAAAGTGGATTCTTTGAAAGCGTCAATTGATAAATGTTTAACTGCCATTGAAAACCAAAATCAAACAATTAACTCTCACGGTACAATAATTAATGACTTGTTGCAAAAAATGCCTAGCTCCTTTCAAAAGGATCATGTTCCGTCCTATGCCAGTGTTACTAATAAATCAACAGTTATTGTACAGCCTAAGAACACTGAGAAAAAAGTATCGGAAACGAAAGCCGAATTGTTAGGAAAAGTTAATCCTGTGGAAAATAATTTGAACATATCTAACGTAAAGTCGTCGCGTAGTGGTGGAGTAATAATCAGCTGCAATAGTAGTAAGGACACTAAAAAAATTGTTGAAATTGTAGAGAATGAACTACGAGAAGATTATAATATAAAACAATTGTCAAATCTGTGCCCCAGAATAAGAATATCAGGTATTCCCAAAGAAATAACCTCAGAAATGTTCTCTAAATCGCTTGTTCATCAAAACCAATTATTGTTTAATGATGTCAATGAAGATTATAAAGTTGTAAGCTACAGTAGCCAACGCAAAAGTGATAAATATCTTCAAGCCGTAGTTCAAATTGACACAGTGTCATACAACAATATAATGAAAGCTGGAAAACTATTAATAGGCTATAAATATTGTAAAGTTTGGGATGCTATCGATGTTCGCCGTTGTTATAATTGTTGTGGTTTCCACCACCATTCTGATAAATGTGATCAGAACTTTCCCATCTGTCCAAGGTGTTCAGAAAAACATAAAGTACAAGAGTGTAAGTCTGATATTCTTAAGTGTACTAACTGTAGTATGTTGAAGGCAACTAATGCTAATATAAACACAAACCATGCAGCCTGGGACATTAACAAATGCACGGTCTACAAAACTCATGTTGAAAACTTTAAAAAAATTATATTTAATTCACAATAGCAATTAAACCCTAATATCAGCGACATTTCTACTTTTTCCGGATTAGCATCTTCAGTTAATTGCAATAGCTCTCACTCAGTACATGATAGAGACCTAATAATCTATTATCAAAATGTAAGAGGTCTTAACAGTAAATTAAATGATTTGAGTAGTTATCTAAATGTTTTCCATTTTGATATATTTGCATTCACTGAATCGTTTCTGAATGACACAGTTCTAGACTCAGAAATATCAAGTAATTACACAATATATAGAAGTGACAGAAACTTTTCTCGTATTAATTGTACAAGAGGTGGAGGAGTCTTAATAGGAATTAATCCTTCCTTTACTTCATGTAAGCTCGACATTTCTAATTTAGGTTTCGATTCCGTGCCAATGATCGATATTCTAGTTGTCAAAATTAACTCTTCCTTCCAAAATTTTTACGTAGTGGTTGCATATGTACCTCCTAGTCCAAGAACATGTGTGGAAGACATTGATGTATTTTTTGAATACTTAATAGCTCTTTGCTTTACTCTCGAAGGGGACGTAATCATCCTAGGTGATTTTAATATTCCGGCATACTCAGACTCCTTAATGGATCAAATAGGTAGTGATGGAAGGTTAAAGCCCCTTTTGAATTTCTTAGAGATGAGTGGCTATCGTCAATATAATTTCGTACGGAATTCTAATTTGCGACTATTAGATTTAATTTTGTCTAACATTGAATGCAGAGTATCAAAAGCTACTGATGTTTTACTTGATGAAGATCATCATCATCCCAGTCTTGAGATATTTATAAAACACAAATTATCATCTAAAGAAAAAAAAATATGTAACGGCAACTTTAAATCTTACAATTTTCGACATGCAGACTTTGCCCTCTTATATGACATGTTACTAAACGTTGATTGGTCGTTTCTAAAAGACATTACGGACCCTAATAAGGCAACATTGCAGTTATATTCCCGACTAGATAAAATCTTTGAAGTTTGTGTTCCTATGACAAAGCGTTTCAATAAAAGACAATATCCGCCCTGGTTCACTGTAAATATAAAACAAATGCTAAAGCTAAAATGGAAATTTTGGTTGAAATATAAACGGTTTAGGGATCCTGCGGTATACTCCAAATTCAAGATTTTAAGATCACAAATCAAAATTGAAATAAAAAATGCATATAATGTATATTTAGAAAAAACTGAAAGTAATATACAGTCAGATCCTACACAATTCTGGTCCTTTGTTCACAGGTTGAGATCTCAAAATGTTATACCAGGAGTGATGACTTATGATTCAAAAGAGTTAAATGATCCGTTATCAATTGTCAACTCTTTCGCAAAGTTTTTTCAACAGCAATATATTCAGTCTCAAGCTTCTGCTGTACATACCATACCGTCGCTTCCTAATTTAAACATTTACCATTATAGTGAAGAGGAGGTGTATCAAGCACTGTTAAAACTAAAAAATAAAATGACATCTGGGCCAGACTGTATTCCAGCTTTTATTCTGAGAGACTGTGCTAATATTTTCAAATCTCCGCTTATGCTTATTTTTAACATGTGCCTCAACTCTGGTGTGTACCCCTCACTATGGAAACAGTCCTCTATTTGTCCAATATATAAAAAAGGGGATAAAAAACAAATTGAAAATTATCGTCCCATCGCTCTTTTGTGCAATTTTTCCAAGGTGTTCGAGATCTTGCTACACAAGAGTATTATGCGTCATGTTCAGTCCTACATCTCACCACTGCAACATGGTTTTGTTAAGGGTCGTTCCACTGAGACCAACTTATGTTTGTTTACACAATTTTTATCAGACACAATCGACACCGGCCACCAGGTGGATACGGTGTACACCGATTTTTCGAGAGCATTCGATAGGATTGATCATTTTAAGTTAATTAACAAATTAAATTCTTTTGGTTTATGTGATCGTCTATTAGACTTGATGAAGTCGTATCTTTTTGGTAGAACGCAGTTTGTGATCTGTAAAGGATTTAAATGGGTAGAAATAAATACAACATCAGGCGTTCCTCAAGGATCAGTTCTTGGGCCTCTTTTGTTTATCCTTTTTATTAATGACATAACATCTTCATTAGAAAGTCGTTGTTTACTATATGCGGACGACTTAAAAATATTTCGAGTAATAAGATGCATAGACGACTGTCTCACATTGCAAAATGACCTACACAGGTTATTAGTTTGGTGTTTGGAAAACGGTCTTTTATTGAATATCGGTAAGTGTGGCGTGATGACATTTTCTTTGAAACATATACTCCTCTTGTTTGATTACATGATTGACGATGTAGTATTACAACGATTTGACGTTGTCAAGGATTTAGGAGTGATATTTGACAAGAAATTGTCATTCAACAATCATGTAGAAACAATGATCATGTCAGCGTCGAAATCTCTCGGCTTTGTCTTACGCAATGGTCGTAATTTTCGCAACAGTGAAACATTATCAACATTGTATTTCGCGTTTGTGAGAACTAAATTAGAGTATGCGTGTAATATATGGGCCCCAGGATATATGATATATGTTAACATGATCGAAAAAGTTTAGAGAAAATTTTTACATTATAAGAAATTTGGTTTCTACCCTCCAAGAGGTTTTCCTGAAGAAGAACTCTTACAAACCTTTTCCATCAATAGTTTACTGAAAAGACGTTTATATTTTTCGTTCATATTCTTATACAAAATTGTCTCTGGAAATATCGACTGCCAAGATTTATTGAAATGTATAAATTTGTTAGTTCCAAGGGTAAATGCGCGTAGATATGACACATTTTACATTTTTACAGCTCGCACTAATGTGCGCAAATTTTCTCCAATTTATACCATCTGCGAAAATTACAACAGAAACCAGGATATGTTCGACATCTTTAACACCACTTCAAGAAAAATTAAAAATATATGCTTGTTACAGGCTGAATGATGGTGTTAAATTTAAGTTAGTTTTAATGTTAAATACATTCATCTTACCCAAATAAATGGTTGTACTGTGGGGGTGAATATTAATAATAATAATAATAATAATAATAAAAATTTGTGATCATGTCATGAACATTTATGCAAGAATACATATACATCAATTTGGATATATGCAGTGCAATGTTAATAATAACAGTACTGTATTCCCAAAATTTCGAGAAAATGGAGTGAGCCGTTCTTCATTTAATCAATAAAATAATTTGCCTCATTTAATTAAGAATATCGTGTTAACATACCATATTCCTGTATTTGTGATTTATGAATCTGCCTTGATTTTTGTCACAATTACTTTACCAACATTTTTGTGCGCATAGATATTTAGGTTACGTGCATAACGACGGTGGACGTCTGGATTTCTTAGAGAACTTGAGCTCTGCTCGCGTTAGTTCGATCCCATTCTTGTCGACATTTTTTTCTAGTATTGAATTTGTTTGAATATGTGTCTTCAGGTGCCAGGGAAGTCCTAGCAAGATTGTTACCATAATTTGGATTTGACCTTAACTCTTTGAAATAATGCAGCAGATGAATAATGTATCAGGATTTAACATATGTTCAACTTCGAATAAGCGTAGAATGAAAAAAGTTTAGACCTGAGGATGTAAACTAATCGTCGACTTTTGACATTATCTCTCTTCTTTTCACCAGTAGTAATTAAGGGTAGGACATTGTATGACTTTAGATTGATAATAAAGAAAAAATTATGTGTGTATTAATGAACCGAGCAATTGTTGAAAATGCGCCAGAAAAAAACTTTTATTGATGATTTTTACAGTTAATTAATTTGTTGCCAGCTTTGGAAGTTAGATTAAAATTTTTATACCTCATTTTTGACTGGCTTGGAATGAAAGCGTGAACGGATGTGTAACAATTTTGAGCACGTTTTCGGACAAATGAACGGCACTCATTCCCTTATTGAATTATTCAGACTTCTGAAAATTTGCGAGTTTGATTTTTACCAAAAAAAATCCCGATAGTTGTCAGAATTTTTATATAATATAACGTTGGCATTAGCTAACCTGGTTGCCTAAACGCGTCGACAATTACCTAAGTACTTGCGTGTTTTCGATATTGTGGAGATAAACGTTATATTATTATTAAAGCGTACGGACTAATGAAAAAACAATTTTTTATTATTCGATTTTTACGGTACATCTACGAAGTTGAGAGCTGGCAGCCTGAAACATATGAAGTATAGGTGTGTTAATTGCTAAAAATTTCAAAATTTGATTATTCAAATTTTATTCTTACAAACGGTAGTTTTTGTGGGGTTAAATACAAAAGTGGATTATTATATAGCTGTAATGTGATGCTAATTAATTATAATGAAATTTACTTAAAAATATTTTAAGATAACGTCATCATTTTTTAAAAGAGAACAAATGTGCTTACTGTTTTACCAACTTCAGAATAATTTTAAGGTACGTTTTAAAATGCATTCTAATAAAATAGACAGAAGTTAAATCATTAATTTTTATGTTATATATGTTCCAAACAGACAGACGACAGACAGACGGAAACGGAAAACGATGAAAGAATTTCGTTGTTATGGTAGAAATTTTTAACTCTTACCCACTTATTTTTCACATAAATTCATCTGTGGGAGCGCCCAATTAATTTCCATTTATATTGCCACGAATGACTACATAATTACCGGCAATAAATTGCCGGATCTAAACACAAGTGTTTCCTCAGTTTTAATTGGTATGAGCGGAAAGTGTTAGTGATGGTTATTGTTTGAGAAAACTTCAGGCTGTTCTAATTTTGCAGTAATTATGTAACCGAGAAAAAGTTTACTTAAATTGTTTTTTTGTTGACATAAATCGTAATTTTGGAAGTATCTTGTGAGTTGCTTTATTTTCCACATGAATTCCGACAGATTTGGAGAAATTAAAAATTACAAGCGTAGAGTTGTAGCAAAATACGTTGTCTCGATCGATGTAGTAAAATATTTGTCAGAGTTTCGTCGGTTGCCAGAATTTGAGGTGAACTATCATATATAATTTATTAAGTGGCGATTCTGATTTCGGGAAATCACGACTAGAGTGTCGACTTTTTTGCTACAGAGACACTGTGAGACGAATACAAACACCGATTTTGTAGTAGTAAATAAAAAACTACTAAGAAGGCCCCTTCAGCACACAACACCTTTTAAGCATTTTGACCTTGTTTTCAAAGGTATGTTTAAAAAAAGCAAAACTATATGGGCTTCTTCAGCACACACCATTTTTTTATCAAATCTACCCGTTTTTCAAAGTACCTTTGTTAAAAAAAAGTTAAAATTCGCCCTTTTACCCCCTGTTTGGGCCACTTCAGCACAAAAATGAATACAGTTTCGTCTAAACAAATTCGGACAAGTTCCTTATGAGCGTCCACAAAGTGGACTAGTGGGTAGCATGCGAAGCGAATTCACAAACCTGTTTTATAAGGTAGAAGGCATGATATCAAACTCATGTAGATAACGATTTTAAATGAAAATTGATAGATTTTTCCGACGGGATAAAACACCCTGTCTGTAAAAACTATATTTATTGATGAATAGGATTATATGCGATTTTGCTCTTTTTTATACTTACTACCATTATTATTGTTTCTTTTATTTCAGTTAACTTTAATTGAAACCTTTGATTACCAAATTTAAATAATAATCAACTCTTTCAATCACCATTTACTATAATTTTTATCATCAAATTATTGTGAAATAAAACTCATTGAAGCTTCTCCAACCTTTATTCAAAAAGAAAGTAAACCAATCCAAAATGAAAAAAAATCATTCAAATAAAGTGTATTACAAAATGAAAATAATTAGTGTAAGTACATATTATAAAATGAAAATAATTATTGTATTATAAAATGCAAATACTTAATGTTTTATTATTGTTCAGACTATTTCATTCGAATTTCCAGATTCTCGTCCAGAGTCTTCGTCTACTTGTTGCTGTCCAGCATTCTGGTTAACTTCTCCATCAGCATTCTGTTCTGGATTGCTACAAAAAAATAATGAATAAACAAGAAAATTCGGAATGTAAGGAGGAAAACCCACAAGAAGACGAAAATGCTATACCAAAAATCGAAATAAATTCCAAAGATTTTAAATTACTATTGAATTATAAAAATATTAAGCTTATTATACCCTTTTTCCGACGGGGTAAAATACCCTGTCTTGTATACTCAACTTTTTTGATAAATAATAGAATTAACACCAATCAAGTTTATCATCAAATTCTCTAATAAATTCTTCTGATAATTCCCGATTCTCTGAAATATTTTTCCAATCAACTTTATCATGAAATTCTCTAATAAATTCTTCTGATAATTTCTGATTCTCTGATATATATTCCCAATCAACTTTATCTTGAAATTCTCTAATAAAATCTTCAGATAATTTTTGATGAATTGATATCCAAAACCAATCAACTTTGTCTAGAAATTCTCTAATAAAATCTTTTGATAATTCTTGATAGCCTGATATACCTTTCCAATCAACTTTATCTTGAAATTCTCTAATAAAATCTTCAGATAATTCTTGAAAGCGTGATATGCATTCCCATTCAACTTTATCTTGAAATTCTTTTATAAAATCTTCAGATAATTTTTGTTTTCGTGATATGCATTCCCAATCAACTTTTGGTTCTGTCATTTATTAAAAAAATAAATAATTATTAACTATGAAGTTTGATATAAAAAATTAATTTACCAAATTAGGCGAATTTCAAAAATTTCTTCAGATGTTTATGTGCTACTTCTGGAGGTAATTTTGTGAGAATAATAACAGAAATTTTTCGTAGTAGTTCAATTTCTTCATCTGGTGTTAGATCAATTTTAGTTTCTTCTTCGTTTACTTTATAACAAAGATTAGAAACACCGTTCCTGTTTGAAGATAAGGTTATTTTGGTATCCATTTATATTAAAAAATTATTTAAGCTTATTTAGTAAAATCATAATTTTATCTATAATACATTTAATTCCAAAAATAGATAAATCAAATTTATACGATTTTGTCGTTTGCAAAAATTCATGATACTCGTAGTAATTATTGTCTTTAAAGAAATAAATTTTTCCATTAATATATCTAAACGCTTTGTCAACATTAGAAGGAATACTAGAAAACAATTCAGCTATCATACCATGTTTCTTAGGTCTAAACAGACATTCATCAAATTGTATAAACATTGTGTTGTCATAAAATACATAAGTTTGACCAGAATAAGTACTAAATATTGCATTAATTTTCTTTCCACTAGGAACACCCAAACTTGTGATAGATCTTCCATTATAACCATTTTTAACAACGAAACTAGGAAAATCAATAATATAATATAAGTTGTTTGTTGTTAACAAAATAGTTCCATCTGGTCTCTGATAAATATGTGATATTTCTTGAAAATTATCTGGTAAAAAAGTTAAATAATCTGTAATTAATTTTGGTTTATTATCATAGCTCATGTCTTTTAAATTAACAATCCAGACATATTTCTTGTTGAAAATATATAATTTATGATTTGCTATTAAAAATGTGTTAATAGTTTCACTTAAGCTGCATAAATCAGGTAATGAATCAGTCTTTCTAGGAGTCAAAGTAATAGGTTTTTTAGTTGTGGTAGATGCAGTAGTTGTGGTAGTTGTAGTTGGTATTGATTCATATTTTGACCGTTCAGGTATTCCATATAAATATTGAATTGCCCAAATATCATCTTGCGTTAATTTATCACTATCTCTTTTATAATAAGCATACATAATTGCTTTATCATTGGCAGAATGTTCAATACCTAAAGTATGTCCAATCTCATGCAATAATACCGTATAAAAATTTGTTTATCCGTCAGGGGTATTACCTAGTTCTCCAAAATACCAGTTTTCTGATTTATGAATTCCTCGACATTCATCATTATTTGGAAAGAATCCATGTGCTAAAATATTACCTTTCCCATCGAAACTGTTAGAACATACTCCTTTTTGACACCGGGAATTATGATTATGTTGAAACGGCATATTAGCAAATGAAATAAGTATATCCGGTTTAATACTATTAAACTCAAATTTTAAATTTGAAACAGATTCCCATTGATCAAAGGCTTTTTGTGCTAATTGTTTCATTTCGTTTGTTGCCAACGAAAAATACCATTTAAGATTTGTTTTAGACCATTTGTTAGTGTGAACTCTATAAGCTGTTGGATTATCTCTAACACCACATCTAGGAGTATTAATCAAAACAAGTGTTTCTTGATTTAATGTTCCATCAGCAGGTAAATTATAGAATTCTTGAAACTTTATTAATGCCTCACTGGTTTCAGTTATTAATGGTCCATTACTCTCTAAATACCCAAATTTTTCTAAATAATTATTAATATTAACATCGCCTTCTGTTCTGGGCTGGCCGTGCCAGACATCATCTGAACTTTTTACAGTAGTGAGAAATAAGAAAAGAATAATATATTTCATTTATTAGAGTAAATATCAAATTAAACAATTGAAATATCTTAAAAAATAATTGTCTTATTTAATTATTTACTATGTGAAACACTTCATACGTCGCAGACGAATTTAATTTCCGTTTAAGCGGACTTTTTCTAGGTATTTCTCTCTAGGAAAATAATTAAAATTACTGATAAATTCCTCTTCACGTAAATTTATTTCTTTTTCGTTTATTTTATCAGCCTTATATAAATGCAATAACTGTCGATAAAATTTATAAACCAACTTATATTCTTCAATTCTTTCTGATATTTTTAACCTCTTATCTAAGATTTCTATTACCCCTGCGCCAAGAGATAAACAAACTAGTGGAGGTAGTGCTAACGATGATAATCCCGATGCACTAAATAATAATTTACTAATAGATAATCCGATTCCAATTTTATAAAAATATAAGTAACTTTTTCTGTATACATACAAGCGTTTTTGTAGATATGTTTCCATTTATAACATATAGATAATATATTTTTTTAATTACGTTCAAATATTGAAATAGTAGTTTTCTCATTTAAACGACACGGTATCTGTTTAAAAGAATTCTGGATTCTGGATTCTTAATTTATGGGGGCTGACCGTGGCCAGCCGGCACTTAGGCCTCGCCTTTGGGCCCATTGTACCTTCCCCAAGGTGTTTTCCCGCTCCTCTACTCGTCAAGCCACCCAACTGCTTGAATGTACTTGAGTAATGCAGAGGGTGGAAACTCCCTGATATTTGCCATACTAGGCCAGATGTCCCCTAGTATGGATTCCCTGTAGGAGGCTAGGGCTGGACACTCACGAAGAATGTGCTCAGCTGTTTCCTCTTCTTCATTGCATCCACGACAGATTGGGTCTGTTACCACCCCTATCGTATATAGATGTTTGTTAAACTGGTAATATCCCGTAAGGAATCCTACCAGTTTACGCAGTTTGTCCCTTGAAAGTGAGAGATAAAATTTCGTCAACTTACGGTCTGGTGTCGCCATACAAGCTCTACTATGCCGACAGCTGCTCAACTTCACCCATATCTGCTCATGGCGTCTCTGGGTATATTGCTTTACGAGTTCGTTCGAGAGGGCGACCGAAGGCGTGATTGCCGGTTCGGGTCCCCAGAAGGGCATGCGCGCGGCTCGCTTCGCCATCTCATCTGCCCTCTCGTTTCCTTCGTTGCCACTGTGTCCTTTGGTCCAACAAAGTTCCACACTATTCCTCTGCGTTACATACTTTAGCGTTTGTCTGCACTCCCAAACCAGCCCGGATCGAACCATACAGCTGTCCAGGGCTAGTAGTGCAGACTTGCTGTCAGTAAGTATGCGTATTGATTTGTTGCCGATTTCACGTTCAGCAATGATTCTAGCTCCCAGCATTATTCCCATCAGTTCTGTTTGTAAGACAGACGTGTGGGTGCCGAGAGGTACACTAATTTGTGCGTTCAGTTGTTCGGAGTAGATGCCGGCTCCTGAACCACTATCTGTTTTGGCACCATCGACATAGATATGTATGTCGGCTCGTCCTTCTGAATTATCATTCATTGATATTCTATATGTCTTCTCATATATTAATTTTGTGCCCATTCGGTCACAGCCCATCCTTAACAAGGGTATTCTGTTGAACGCCTCCGTTAAGATCCGAGTGTGCTTCGTTGTGCGGCCTTGTTTGTTCCATACTCCCAGAGAGTGAAGTCTTAGAGACGTCGTCATTGCCGCTTCCTCTATGTAAAGGTTAAGAGGTGCTAAGCAAAGAAGAGTCTCCAGAGCCGCTGTGGGAGTGGTCCTCATTGCTCCTGTAACACTGAGACACGCCATTCTCTGAACGTGTTCAAGTTGCAGGGCTGTTGTTTTTTGTCTGGCTCTGGGCCACCAAACTAAAGCTCCATAGCACAGCATCGGTCTGACTATTGCCGTGTAGATCCAGAGGGCGATCTTGGGATTTAAACCTCACGACCTTCCCACCACCCTACGACATTGCCAAAGAGCCGAGCGTGCCTTTTCTACTTTATCATCTACATGCTTCTTCCAATTCAGTCGCCAGTCCAATACAACTCCCAGGTATTTGACTTCGTCCGAAAGTTGAAGCGTTGTGTTAAATATTTTTGGCATCTGTAGTGTGCCAATTTTCCTTTTCCTGGTGAACAGGATTAGTTTCGTCTTTTCTCCATTAACGGAGAGGGTATGTCTGCTGCACCATTCCTCGACTATTTTTACTGCAGCTTGCATTATCTCACATAATGTATCTACGTTTTTTCCTGTTAGCAGAATGACTAGATCGTCCGCGTATCCAATTGTGTGGTAGCCAAGATCATTGAGGCGTCGTATCAGGCTGTCAACGACAGTATCCCACAGTACAGGAGAGAGAACTCCTCCCTGAGGACATCCCCTGTCTACAACAGCCTCGATCTCAGTGCCACCTACATTAATCATTACTTCCCTGTTCCTCAGCATACCGGCCACCCACCTACTCAGGGTGGGGTCCACGTCGTGCTCTCGTAGGGCTAGCTCTATGCTTTTGAAAGTCGTTTTATCAAACGCTCCTTC